TCTTGACGATACTATTGTCGAAAGAGAGAATTTTACATAGTCAGCAAAACGTTTTTCGAAGATATCTTGTGATTTACCAAGCCGATTTTGATGATTCAACCATTATTAGATTTGCTCAATGAGCTTTACAACTTCAATTAGAGGCCCAAAGGTGATTAACTTAGTACAAAAAAAGTTTTAGATAGAGGCAGCTCACATTCAAAAAACTCCAATTTCTATATATAAACTGCATTATGTTACACTATGAGCTCTCTCTGGTTGAGTGGCAAATCACCAATTAAAGAAGTTTTTATTAAGTTAGGGTTTGTTAGGCTTCTAAATAAAGTTGTAGAAGAGATTTTTTTGGTTCTAATAATAGTTAGATCATCAAAATTAGCCATGTGAATTTCAAGATATTTGGAGTTAAAGATACAAATATAAGGATCTACAAATTGGTAGTTCATTGGGAAAATAAATATAGTGCAGATCTGCTACCCTAGAAAAAAATGACAAATTTTACGATATCTTGTAATCCAGTTATTAAAACTCAATGATTTTGGTACCATTCGATTCGTCTCAATGAGATGGATCAAATAGTATCAAAATCGTTAAATTTTAATTACTAGATCACGAGATATTTGCATTTAAGTAGTTTTTGTAACTACTTATATAACTTGTCACCTAGTGGTTCAAATTTAACGATTTTGGTGTCATTCGATTTCTCTCAATAAGATAATTTGAATAGTATCGAAAATGCTAAAATATGATCACTAGCTAGTAAGATATTTGCAAAAAATATTTTGCGGCACAGTTCTGCGCAGAACTTTAAAAAACAAATTTAAAGTTCAATGCAGAACTGTGCTGTAAAACATTTTTTGTGAATATCTTACTAGCTGGTGATCGTATTTTAGCATTTTTGATACTATTCGAATCATCTCATCGAGAGAAATTGAATAACACCAAAATCGTTAAATTTGAACCACTGGATGACAAGTTATATAAATAGTTACAAAAACTACTTAAACACAAATATCTCATGACCCAGTAATCAAAACTTAACGATTTTGATATCATTCGATCTGTCTCATTGAGACGAATCAAATGGTATCAAAATTGTTAAGTTTTAATTACTGGATTATGAGATATCGTAAAATTTATTTTTTTTTAGGGTAGCAGATCTTTGCAGATCTGCACCATATTTATTTTCCTGATATTATACAAAGTAGTATTTACTAATTTACCCCAATTCCCTATTGGACAGTAATCTTCCAGTTGCTGATTGGTCAAAATTTATTATATTATTAATCAGATACTAAAACATGATTATTACAGAATGTTATGTTATCTCTTAAATAAAATTTTTTAACTTTTTTTTTTACTTCTTTTTTTTTACTTAACTTTTTTTTTGTCTGATTTTTTGGTTTGAATTAAAGATAATTTTAAAACATTTACTACAAAAATAAAAAAAATTCAAAACTTGAAATAATTATTATAACTTTTGCTATATTTTTGTATGAATAATTATTATAACTTTTGCTATACTTTCACGTGAATAATACATACTTTCATATGAATAATACATACTTTCACATAAATAAAATATACTTTGCTGCTCGTTTGTTATATATTAGTATGTTGGTACCTCCTGATATTAATACTGTATTTGATATTTGTAAAGAAGTTAAAGAAATAGACCCAGATTTAAGTGAAGCTAACATAGATGATGTGCTTGACACAGTTCTGAATACAACTGACAGTGTAGGTTATATGTAAAAAGTAGTAGAAGATGATAATGTATTAGAAGAAAGATTAGAATCTGAAAAAATAAAAGTATATTCGCTTTTAGTTAAATGAGTATGTGATATAGATTAAAAATCTTAAATATACTAGATTAAGTTATATTCAGCATGATTGTAGAAGCATATAAAATAGTAATACAAAAAAAACTATTAGATTGAGCAATGGTATTGCCATCATTATGAGTTATATAAAAGTTTCGCTAAGAGTAATTCGAATAAAAAATCACAAATTGTACAAAAGAACTTAGAAAAATATGATTGTAAGAGTTTTCTTTGCTGAAACTGCCAAATTAGCAACTTTAGAACTACTTTAAAATAGCTATAAAGTAACTATAAAGTAACTATATA